TATCTTTAATACTTTTTATGGATCGGCAGAAACCCCGTTTACTGAAGCGACCGCGGGAATAAATGCATCAGAGAAGAAAACTGGAATTAACCCAAAAATGTATTTTATCAGTAACATCAGCCTCACTGTCCCAGTCAGTGATACTAAAGGTCACGGCGTCCCACAGTCTTATCCCATCTTCTCTTAGGGGGGATCATATTTCTTGACCTATTTATTATCAGAAACTCAGACTTTATTTGGGGAGATTTAAATAGAACCATCACAAATTTTTTTTTTATTCCCTGGAAGCTTCAACATAATAATAATGAACACGATTTATGAACATTAGAGACAATTTTCAATGAGGGGTCACCTGGTGTGCTTATTAAAATGTGCAAACTTCTTTAAATCCATTAAGGGAGAAGTATACCTGTTTTTCTTTGGGGTATTTTATTGCATGTTAGGCGATTATGAAAAATCAAAGTATAAGCAAGGATTAAATGTAACAGAACTCGATAAAAAACAGAGAATAATCCGCTTCCCTGTTGGAAAAGTTCTGGTAAAGAAAGAAAAAAAGGCTGTGCTTCTCATGTTTCTCTGCTTAGAAAAAAAAAAATATTGCTGCAGGTGAGATTTCTCTCCCAAAAACTGCAAACAAATTGTTGATTGAGTCGGAGCGCAGCCTGCGGCGGCTGCTGCCGCCCGTCGTGTTTGGGCTTGATGAGGAATACGCCTCGTCTAGCAACATGTGCATTCCTCCGCCGCAACTTCACGCTGGGCAGCTCTGAGAAATGCGCCGCAGACCCAATGAAAATTGTTGAGGTTTCACAGACTAATATCTGGAGCGATTCTGAAAGCACGTCTTGCAAAACAAGATTCCAGACAATTACCAGCTCACAGTTTGCAGGGGAGAAAATGGCTTTTTTTGCTTTTAATTCAGTTTTCTTTCTTTGTTTTCTGACGGCACTAATATCCTCTTAAAGAGTGGAATTAAAATGATTTTAAATCCACTTCCCAGACAGAAGGGAAAATGTTTCCATTAGCAGCGGTGACATTTGTGCTCCGCCGTGTCTCCAAGTCTGGGAACGAGCCGATTCGGACCCACAGCAACAGTCCAGATAACCGCCGTTAAAACCCGCTACCAAAAAAACGTTTACTTACAGGATGAGCGTGGTGATGTTGGACGCATGAGGACCCAGATCAGGAATGGCCTCCAGTTTGTTGTGATTCAGCTTTCTGCGGATGTAAAAGAAGAGCAAACTTTAACGACACCGAAGGATGAATAACGGCTATTATTAAACCCGAGCAAAGAAAACACAGAAAACTCACAGTTCATTTAAACGGACCAGTTTGGAAAACAGATTCCTGTCCAGAACTTGCAATCTGTTATGGCTCAGGTCTCTGTGAAAGGAGCAGAAAGTAACATAAATGCACAACCCTCTTTTTCTAACTTCTCTATAATACATTGGCCATGCCTGGCATCATGGAACAGGAAGGAATTTTATTTGGTTAAAAACACTAGAATTATATTTTTATAGATAGTTAGCGTATTAAAATACGTCTTAAATCAGGGACCCCCTAATTATATATATATTAGGGATGTACGATATTGGGATTTTGGCCGATATCCGATATGCCGATATTTTAAAACTCATGTAGCCGATAACCGATATCGATACCGATATTAAAGCTGGAAAAAAATAAGTAGTCATTGAAAATAGCAGTTTTGTTATCCATTTCTGACACTTTGAAAAATAATAAACTCAAATATATTTTCATATGCTGATATCAAATAGATTTTTAAAAACGCGGTATCGATCTATTTTACTTTCAAAATCTCGTGAAATGTCATCGTTCTGTTAAAAACTCTCGTGATATTTTGCCAATTCTTGTGAGATTTTGTTAGTAAAATAGATCGATACGGACTTCCGGTTTAACGCATGGAGT